GCCGGATCGGTCCACTCCATGATCCTGAAGAAGTGCTGCAGGCATTGCCTCTCCTTGGTTTTGTAGCAGGCGGTTCTGGAATTTTGGTCGCTGAATAGCAAGTGCTCACTTCAAAACCACCAGTCCACCTCACACGCCCTGAACATCCTAAACCCTGAACCCCATCCCTAAACCCTAAAACCCTAAACCCTAAAACCCTAAACCCTAAACCCTGAACCCAAGCCCAACGTAAGACCTAGCTTTCCGCTTGGAACCCCCGATGAAACTGGCCCGGGCTCTCAGTCTGTAAGTATGCATTCGGTGCCCTGTGACTGTGGAGAACCGGAGCTTTCTTGACAGTTCTCCGACATTACCCAGAGAGCCCTCCGGAGAGCCCATTGCCCTTGACGTACTCACTTCTCTCTCTCTCTCTCTCTCTCTCTCTCTCTCTCTCTCCCCACACACACATATATATATATAGAGAGAGAGAGAGAGAGAGAGAGAGGACCTGTATGATAGGTTCCGATATCGCGGCAGAATTCCTTGTTTAGGGGGCATTGGGCTCTTGGAACAGCTTCCGGCCGGTCATAGGTTCAATGCTGAAAGTGCCGAAGTGATGCCACAGTGCCCTCCTCAGCGACCTCGTTCAGGTTTCTAGGGGCTAGACAGCTTCAGGTGCAGGTTTTTTACAAGTACCGAACAGGATTTGAATAGTCACGTTTGAGGTGAGTCGTCGTGTTTTAACTCGTTTCTCTTCAACTTCTGTTCTTCGACAGTTCGGCTCTGTTACCACATGATCACTGAGTGCAGCGTGTGGCCTGATCCCAACATGGCCCAACCAAGGCATGTGACCTGCTACAACTTGATGGTGACGCTGATGATCTTCGTTTGGCACCTCCACCTCCGGTGCTGTCCGAATGTAGGGGCTTTCGGTGGGAAGCTTCGCCTTATCATGAAGCCGGTCTTTCGTTCTGAGGGTCGAATGAGGTAGACCGCTACACATGTGCGCGTGCAGGGACTCTGCTTGATCTGAGGATTCGCCAACATGCATTCATGTACTGCCGACCGGCCGCGTTTGTGGCTCTTTTAGATTGTCTTCGGGCTGAAAAACCCTCCATCCAAAATCTAGACTTGGTGAGACTCCCTTCACCCGCACTCGGCTTCTTTCGATTACTGGGCTTTTCGATTCCGCACTTGGGGCCAAACCGACAGCCAAAGGCTAAGTTTCAGGTGTAGCCGCATTCATCACATTCATTCGACATCCGAGTCTCGACGAATGCTTGTCCTACTCAGCAGCATACGGACAAAAAGGTAGCAGGAGCAGTATGCAGTAGTCACAGAGACACGGCACTGGCCATAGGCCGGTAAGAGAGCCAATGTCGGCATTCAGGCAAAAAAACCATCCAGACTCGTTAACACGTTACAGCTGCAGCCCTGGCGCTGATGAGATTTCATTGGGTTTAGGGTTTAGGGTAGCAGAGAGTTGGCTGAAGCTGTCTGAGCCCTATGGCACGATGGCGGCCGGACACGCGGAGCTCGAAGGCAGCATCCAAATCCTTGGCCTTCTACTGGCTTGTGGCAATGCCGAAGGGCTTCAATCCTGGCTTGAGGGATTAGTACTATCTACCCCTGAGTGTCCCAAGCACATGTACTGTATAACCTACCCAAAACCCCCTCGACTAAACCCTCAGCCCCCCCTAAACCCTAAACCCTAAACCCTAAACCCCTAAAACCCTAAACCCTAAGCCTAAACCCCTAAACCCCTAAACCCTAAGCCCCCCCTCCACTACCCGCAACCCCTCTTTCAACGAAGCATCGTCCAGGCCTCCCGAGCTGCGATGTCCTTCGGACCTGGCCGGCTGATTGGTAGCTTTGCGGCCGTCTTTGAGTCTTTAGGGACTTTAGGGCTTCGGGACCCTAAACCCTAAACCTGTGACCCTACGTCCTAGCTATGTAGGAGGGAAAAAAGACCCTAAACCCTAAACCGAACCCTAAACCCTAAACTTTATGGATCCTATAACCCTAAACCTCTATGGCTTTGGGAGGGAGGGTTTGGGGTTTTTGGCCGGAGCTCTCCGGGGGCCTTCACATACTTCATACCTACGCATCCAAGTCCCGAGGAGATGAAGTCTCGTGGCTCTCTATAGGGTTTATAGGGTTTAGGTAGGCTTGCGTGTAAAAAACATGGCGGTGAAGCTTCCCAGCTCATCGGCAGATCAAAAAAGGGTTTAGGGTTTCTGGGCACTTCCGAGTTTGAGGGTCTTTGGGGGCTCAGAAAGCCGGCCCTTGCACTCTAAGAAGGATCTCAGTCCGATCAGTATGTCTTCCTCGCCTTTGCACTAAAAGAAGGATCTCAGTTCCTCGTCAAGACTCCAAATGGCCACGAGATGCCTTCATCTTTTACTGTCATTTCTGTTGATGCCTCCTCTTGTAGCTTTAGACTTTAGACCTCTCTCAGTGTTTCTACACCCCAAACCCTAAACCCCTTTACCCTAAAACCCCAAAACCCTAAGTAACCCAAGTATATGATTATTGGATCCTTTGGACCCCTAGGGTTTCTTCTTTTTCTTTTTCCCGGCATTCTGCCAGAACGCCTCGGCCTCCGGCGCTGAGGCACTTGGCGGCGCTGCTGGCCCAGCCGGGGGCCCCAGGGTCCAAAAGATGGCGCGGGGAAGAGTAGACTCGCAGGGTAGGAGGGGCCGGAGGATTCAGGGTTTTAGGGTTTTAGGGCTTAGGGTTTAGGGCTTAGGGCTTAGGGCTTGGGGCTTAGGGTTTAGGGTTGGGTATGAGGGGCTTGAGGTTTTAGGGCTTAGGACCAGGGCTCAGCAGGTCAAGATCAGGTATTCGGGAGAGTACAGGACATCCCAAACTTCAAACCCGATACCCTAAGCCCTGGGTTCAGCTTCACAGAAGCCTCAAACCCTGCGAACCTCGGCTCCGAATCTGAAGGGCTCCCTGTCTTAAGGGTACTATAGGGTTCTACAGTCGGGTCCCCTTTACGGCTTTAAGGGCACCATAGGGTTCACCCTAAAGCCTAAACCGCAAAGCTTCCCCGGACGTCGATCACCGGGTCGGGGAAGTACCTATAGTCTCCATTGTAGTTCCTTTTTGGGGTTACCTTTTAGGATCCTTAATACAAAATTGGTTAAACCAAAAAAAAGGAAATACAATGGAGACTATAGGTAGAGTAAACCGAGTGCTCGGGTGCTTGCCACATTCCTTGACAGCTCATGCGCTGGTGTTTCGGCCTTAAGCCTTAATGGAGTCCCCACCCGTGGGCCAAAATTTCTATTTACTTCCGATATGATACAATATAATATGATATGATATGATATGATATGAGATGATGTAGTCGAAAATGATATTACATGATCAAATGTTGTATATGGGTACATATAAAGACCCCCAATGATCGGCTTGGTGCGGACAAGCCCCTGGTGTTTGCACCAAGGTCGGATGCCACGTTGCCGAGCCCCGGACGTTTCCTTCATGCCGGGGTGGCGGTGGAGGCATACACGTTCTTTCAGAGTCCCGATGCCTTATTCATCCTTATTGCACCGTGCTATGATATATCTTGACTTGCAGCTCTCTATCTGGCTACTATGTGAGAAACGTTTCTTGACTCTGCTAAGTGTGGCTTTCGTTTCTGTGTTTTCTGGTTCTGCTCCTTTCCCACGAAAAGGGTGAAGGCTTTGCGGAATGGAGGCACTTCGGGGGATTCGGATTTATCCGGAATTTAGGGATGTGGGGATTTAGGGGTTCAGGGGTTTAGGGGTTTTGTCCATGAAAAGTTAAAGTAGGAGGAGGCCTGAGGTGATGGGCTTCAGAGGGCTTCTGGCAGGGATTTCCGAGCAGGGAGTGACCCGGGACCTGGGATGGGGTGCGGAAAGTCTCAGCCCTTCCCTCGGCCCCTGACCCTTCCAACCCTAAACCCGCTTTGCGAGTGTGTGAGTCGAAGCCCTAAACCCTAAACCCTAAGCCCTGACCCTTCAACCCTAAACCCCTAAACCTTGTGTAGGAAAGCAACCTCGGGCTTCGGAGTAGCGATCGTCGTCGTCGTCCTTTGTCATCGTAGTCGGCCTCATCATCGTCGCACTAGACTTGGGAGGGCCTAGCACTGTTACTGCTTCGATACTGCTCTTGCTGCTGCACGGTGCGATTTTCCACTCTGACGGCTCCTGCTTCTCAATCGCGCATTCGGCCATCTTATTCGGTTGTCCTCCTCTCCAAGGTAGATCGCGATGTCCCGATGTGGGCTGTGACGCATGTGCACGAAGTAGCCAGCGGCCTTGATTGGCTTAGTAACTGAGTCGTTGCAGTTTAGATGCTATTATCCCCTATAAAAACTGAAAGTTTGTACGACTTTTGGGGCTTATGAACACAGCATGGGCTTGTGTTTTGAGACTAGGGGTTCGAGCTTTCGGGAAATTAGGGTGCGGTCCCGCTGCAAGGATTTGTTCAAACAAGGGACCTGGTTAAGAAACCCTGGGTCTTTGAAATTTATCAGGGTTCTGTACATGGGCCTATCATTTTAGGGTTATATAGGACTAGGGTTTCTTAATCAGGTTCCTGCATTACCCTGACGCTTCAGCCTTGCGTGACGCATCGGTGCGGCTCCAGCAGCTTTGCTTCCGAGGGCCTCCGACAAAGCACAAACATATCTAAGTAAAGCAGGGGCCCGGATAATTTAATGGCATCCAAGCTACAGCTATGTAAACCCTAAACCCAAAACCCTGAACCCTAAACGTTCAGTTCTGGCTTTGAGCTCTGAGTGATTGTGCTGCTAAAAAAACGTTCAGTTCTGCGGCTTGTCTCACCACCTGCGGCCTTAGCACAGCTTCAACCCGAATCTGGCTCTAAGCCAGTCTAGTAGCCTTACCTAGCCCATGAGTCATAAGTCCTAACACCCCTAGCCTTTTGAAGCGTTTAACCCTAAACCCTATAGACCCTAACCCCTAAACTCCTAAACCCTGAAATTTCTGGAGTGGAAGATCCATGATCTCTGTGAGCCCTATGCCGCCATGTTGGAATCGGCCTTGGAGAACATCCTACTCCAATATCTGGCGCCCTATGTCGACGGCATTACGCGGGACCTGCCGCAAGGGCACAGAGAGACTTAGGGTTTAGGGCTCAGGGCTGCAGCCTTTGGAACTCTTCACCCCAAGACTCAGCGCGTGGTCTCGCAACCCCTCCAAAAATCCGAGCACCGCAGATCCCCAAAAGCCTCAAACGAGAGGCCGCGCCAACCCCCAAGTGCCAAAGTGGAGTTCGCGCCTTTCTGTGTACATGCAGCCTCAAACCCGACAGCATACCCAAAGCGCATGAGGGGATCTTCTGCGCACAGGCCAGAGTCCAGAGAACGAGAATCAGGAAAAAGGCCCCTGTCCCAACAGCCACGAGCCGCGCCCCTGGGAATCCCACCGTTTCTGGGGGCTCCCGGGTAGAATCCCTGAATCCTACCTATAGTCTCCATTGTATTTCCTTTTTTTGGTTTAACCAATTTTGTATTAAGGATCCTAAAAGGTAACCCCAAAAAGGAACTACAATGGAGACTATAGGTAAACCCCTGAGTCAGGAAGTCCCTGAACTGTGAAGAAGATTTAATTACTCCAATCTTCAGAAGGGGCGAAGTGCAGGAATATCCGCACACTGGATGCATTTGGTTCGCTTAAACCCGAAGACCCCCAACCCTGAATCCTTGCTTGGCATTTGCGGCCTGTAACCTGGCGGCCTGAAATTCGGGGACTTCTAGTTGCGAGAAAGGTGTGCCAGCAGGATCAAGCTCAAACTCCCAAGTCTCCAATCTGAAACACCCCAGGCTCCACAGCCCCGTGCATGCAGAGTACTCTGCTCCTGGATCCATCCTTGTTAGGGCTGTCACCCATCAAAAGAATCCTTGTCTCTCGAAAGCCCAACACCCTTCTAGAACCTTTTAAGAGCCCCTATAGATCCCTTAAAGGAGCCCTTCTACCCTAAACCCTAAACCCTATAGATCCCTTAAAGGAGCCCGTCTAGAACCCGTTTATAGCCCCTATTGATGTTTGAATTGAGCTTCCAGAACCCTCTAAGAGCCGCTATAGATCCCTTAAAGGAGCCCTGATAGAAAGTTCTAAGAGCCCCTCTAGATATTTTACAGGAGCAGATATTTGAGAGGAGCAGATATTTTAGAGGAGCAGATATTTTAAAAGGAGCAGATATTTTAAAGGAACAGGTATTTTAAAGGAACAGATGTTTTGAAGGAGCAGATATTTTGAAGGAGCTAGTAGAACCCTAAGCCTAAGACGCCAAAGGCCCAAGCCTCGAACGCCCGGACTCCCGAGGACTCCCTGCATCTGGGGGTCTTCAGCGGCTCCATCGAGCTGGAGAACCTGAAGGCTCAAGGGGGCTCTTTGTGGGGGCTTATGGTGTTTGTAGGGCTTTTAGGATTTTTAGGGTGCTTAGGGTTTTTAGGGTTCAGGGTTTGGGGTTCAGGGTTTAGGGTTCAGGCTCAGTTCAAGCCTGTGGAAAAGGGTTCGGGTTTAGGGTTTAGGGCTTCTAGGCTTTACAAGGGTTGTTCCACGGTTCAGTGTGAGTAAAGTTGTGGTTAGGGCTTCGGCTTCATTAATAATTAGGTTTTATCCAGGGTTGAGGGTTTGCGCGGGAGTTATTCTGAAATCAGGATTCCTTTCGGGAGTTCTGTTCTACGCAAGCTTGGTTTGTGCCGGAACCGGGCTGCGGTGCAGAGCAAGTTCGTCTAAGGGCCGCTGACACGCCGAAGCCTATGATAGGATGCACAATCACTACACATTTCTGT